TATATATATATATATATATGTATGTATGTATATATAATTTGAAACTTTTTTATATGCCCTTTTTTAACAAGACAAGAGTATTTGTCAATCCTCCATTAACATGTCATCAATTAGTCAACATAAGAAATAAAATGGTACAAGAGATTCATTTAGAGCCTCAACAAATATGTTAACTGAACTTGTGCTAGAGAGCTATACATACTCCCAGAAACCTAATAAGGTTGAGGAAATGCTAGAATTAGAATAGGACAACGTCCATTCCACTCCCAGATTAGCTTTCCGTTATTCTTTCTTTACAAAATTCTTACAATGGTTCTAAATTTAGTGCTCCAGTTATTTTTTTTTAAGAAAAAATTCCCATAAAAATTTATATTTTATATTATATTGAAAACACTTCAAGCTGCCCTTGTTCTATGGTCATTACAATAGAGCATTCCTTGCTTCTTTTTGTTTGGAAAATAAAAAAATCATCTGAGGAGAAGGCGAGGAATCACGACTGAAGAATGACGAAAGAAGGATGAAGAAGTTGCAGATGTAGATCTTGCAAGATGAAAGCCAACGATTGAATGTGATGGAGGAGAGGAATGGAGGGTTTGATTTTGGGGTTTGGAGGGCTCTAGCTTGTGTCCCCATTGTCCAAGACTGGGGTTCGAGAGGGATACGGGTTTTTTCGGGTTAGGAGTAGAAAAAAATGGACGCACCTTTGAACCACCCGGCTCTTCAAAAACGGCTCTAGTTTGCAGTTTAATACAGGTTCCCGATCCAAAGGCTGATTCAGGAAGGTCCAACTCCAACCTGACTCAACATTCCAAATGGCTTAAACATGAAAATCAAGTTGTTAGACTGGCTAGTCGATGGACCGTCTAGTCTAATCCAATTTTGAAAGCATTGTGTATGCATAATCTCTTCAATTAAATTTTTACTTTTTTCCTTTATAAAAATTTGTTGCTCCATTGCATCTTGCTCATATCAAAATGGCTATTGGTCGCACCATTTTTGCATTAGATATCACACCTCACTCCCCCCCCCCCACATGATCCTTTAATGTGTAATTTTTTTTAAAAAATCATTGATCATCCCACCTTCAATTTACAGTAGAACAACAGACTTTACAAATATATAAATTTATTTTATTTTATAATTTATTCTCTTATGCATTTTAAAAATATGTAGATATAAATAAATAGATAATAAAGAGGTAGATAACTTACCAATGGATTTGGATTGTACTATCTGAATCATTGAAAACTATATCAACAATTAAGAAAAATTTACTTATTTATTAATCTTAAATGGAGTATAAATTCATAGTTATTGATTTGAATTTTAATGGTTCAGATGATACAGATATTCAATGCTTGTACTAAGTACAGTCACCAAATTCAAATCCCTTACCAATATCATGTCCATTGTGTGGTACCTATGTAATGAGAAGAAAAGTCTGAAATTTGAAGCAATGAATATAATTAGTTGAAATGTTCATAAAACAAGAATATAGTTAGGTTAATTTCTTGGTTAATAAAATTATAAAGTTGATGATATTAGATGTCTATCTTCTGGAAATTTTTATTTGATTTTTCTGAAATATATAAGGAAAATTCTGGAAGCCTGTTTTTTCTTAACCAATTTTAGTAGAGCAACAAAATTTCTTGGAAGAGAGCTTCTCTCCTTCCGCATGTGCAATGATAGGGGGTTTCGAGAGGCATGGATTTTTTAAATAATTTTATTCAGCAACCCAAATACAATATAAATATAAGTAGATAGATTAATTTAAGTTGTCTTTTTATCAAAAAGAAAAAAGAAAAAGATATACCTTATATTTTTATTTTTTTTAAATTCTCCGCAAGACTCACAACTTCTTGAACAAGACACCTCAATCTGGACCCAATTTTTTTGGGCATGAAAAATGGACCCGTTTTCCACAACATTTTATGGCCTTTTAGACAGTGTCCGCCTAAACACAAATCCATGACCGAAATTTACTCAAGAAAACAAAAGCCCTTCTTAGGCTCTTCGTTCATTTTGATGCCACGAAAAAAGGTCCCCCTTTTTTTCAAAAAAAAAACCAAAGCCTGGGACTGCGTTTTAAGATAATAAAAATACTAATTATTTAAAAAATAAAATACAAATCATTTTCATCAATGAATTTCCCGCTGTGTGAAAACTTTAGTAGAAAAAAATAGATGTGGGATATAAATTTTTTTAATAGAGTGAAAAATATATATGTTATACAAAAAAGAGTGAATAATATATATATATATATATAAGTTGAAATGAAGTAAGTGATAGGAATGTCAACGACAAGCTATCCCGCACAATAATATCATCTCTTTTTTTTTTTGGTAAAAGAGGTTTTGAATTTAAATCTAATATTGACATATATATATTTTTTGGCCATAATTAATATTGATATGTTTATGTGTGTGCATGAATGTGTGTGGGTGTGTTTATGGGAAAGAGTTAGGTTAGGGATAGTTTTGTTTTTTTTTGTTTTTTTTTTTAAAGTTAGTAACTGGAATTAATTCATGTCATACTTATCTAACCTCTGTGATCACTTCAATTCAGTAACTTCCATGTGCCTTACTTTTGAACTTCCTATGGAACTTTTTAATGACAATACAAGCCTATCACAAAATTGTAACCTTTCTTCTCTGTTGGCCAAAAGACAATTTGAACCTTAAAGAGTGAAGGTAACCATTTTCCCGCAATACTACTCAGAGCTGACAAGTTGTCTTGAAAATCCAAACCTATCTCAATCTCACAGCTTGCTTTCTCCAATCAGAAGCAGATTCTTTTTTCCAAAACAGTACAATAAATTTTTAAATTAATGCCAACATGTCCATGCACCCATAACATAACTGGCCATATAAAAGAAGAATTTGCAACCAACAAGAGATATGTTTAGAAAAAAATGGATAATATTTGTTGGCATGATAAAATAATATTTATATTTTTGTTGGAAGATATGCTTATTTTTAATACCGACCACATTTTAAATAAGATTGTTTAAAAAACACCTATGATTAATAAAAAAATAATTTACATTAATGTATAATCTTTTGCAATCTATCACCATCCATCCACATGCCTTCTTTTCAGCCAACAATGTCCACATGCCCATTGTAATCAGAAGCATTCTCTCACTTTCTCATCCACCATTTTGCATATTTCTCACCCTATCTTAAAAAATAAAAAAATTGTAAACCCTCTTCCTATCTTTTTACCTGCTGTTTAATTAAAATTTCAACTCACAAATTTCGAGATGCAATTATAATTAATATATTATATCTCTTTCAATTTTCTAATATTTCACTTTTTTTTATTATATCATGAGGAAAGCTTTTGATGTCCATTCATATCTCTTTTCATTCTCGTCACCTTATAGGTACCCCTAATTTATTTAATTTATATTCTAAGAATTAAAGTTTGTGAAGAGGAGGCATCTATTGAAAAATTAGTAATTAATGTTTTAAACCTCTTCGAATAACAGATAAATAGTAACAACAAATTTTCCTCAAAAGTGACAATTATAATGAAACGGAGTAGTATCTTTCTAAAATTATTGTGACTCCCAGAAAAAAAATAAATAGCCAAGCTTAAATATTGAAGAATTATTCTTTTAATTTTCAATTAATATTTCCAAAATATTCGCATCCCCTCCTAATAAGGTTGTTAAATTCATAAATTTAAGTAAATTCATGACATAAACATAAATTTAAATTATAAATTTGTAAGAGTTTACCTTTATCAATAAACAGTCAATTATATGATTAAATAATTAAAATATGCTTATAATTTGATTTAAATATTTCAAATATAAATCCATCTACATTGATAGATTATCATCCAAAACATAAAAATTTCAAAATATGGCAACTTATTTTGGGTATTTTTGTTTTTTTATTAATGTTAATTTTGTTTTTTTAAAGTTTTTTTCTTCTTTAAACCAGGTCTCATCATTTATATGAATCGAGTTCTATGTAATATATACCTAACTTGCTTAAATTGATAAAAAATCGACAAGCATAATAAGTTTAACTAAGTTTGCATATAATTCAAGACTATAAATTAGTTGACATAATTTTATAAGTTAGAAATGTAAAATTTGTAAGCTTTTAAGTTTAACTAAATATATATCTAGTTTGAATTCATAAGTGAGTTGACAAGATTTTATGAACTAGAAATGTAAATACGTTAAACTTATAGAGTCAACTTGAAAGTTTAGCAATTACATCTCCTAAAGTCATATCACCTTAACTTGGTCTACCTTCTATTACTTATAGTGCAAGCATATAATTCTTTCACTCTTAAGTTTGTTGAAGATTGAGAGAAGTTAGTTCATTTTGATTATATCTTGCTATTTCATTCTCAAGTTTCTAGCCTACTACTTGAGTTTCCTGCTTAGTGATTCATTTTTTGGAGAATCACTTTTGACTTTTTGCCCAATGATTCATTACTTTGAAAGTCACTCTTGAGTTCCTTATCAATGATCCATTCTTCCAAAAATTACTCTTGATTTTTTTAAAGATTGAGGGAAGTTAATTCATTCTGGCCATACCTTGCTTCTTCTGATTTTTCTACCTAGTGATTCACATTTGAGAATAACTTCTACATTTGCATTCATTAGATATTTTTAGAATAATTTTTAGTTATTATTATGTTCACATGTGTGTGTTGTAAGCTCTTTAGGTCAATAAAGCACATCACTTTTTTCCAGTTTCCTTTCCTTCTCTCCTTAGTTCTTCCAAATAGCGATAACACCTTAACTTGTAACTAAAATAGCAACGCAAGGCGGTAATTAAGCAGATTGCACAAGTTATTGGGATATTATTAATAAACAATAACTTAAATAATTCTCAACACAAGAAGTTCAATTATATGATTATATTTCTGATCACTTTTAGTAAGAAAACATGGAAAAGAAAATATTGAAAAGAGAACAAGCAAGACTCGCTTAATAAATAATAATTTGCATAACGTGTGGAATATGACATGAGAGAGAGAAAAAAGAGGAACTGTTTTATTAGTAGCAACAATAAAAATGGAAAGCAGAAAAGGTGGGGGTGAACCGGGTCCAAGTCATGACCGGTTCGGTTCATACAAACCATCCCACACCCCCACCCTTGCACATTATTTTAAGTGGCTCACTCACCCACTCTCTATCACTACTTGAATAAGTCACCCCAAAATGGAACCAAATTTTTCATTTAATTTTTTATGATATGGTCTTATGGGGTCCTTCTAATTACACACATTCATGACCAAACTTTACAACAAAAATGAACATTCTCAACAAAGAAAGCTCATTTGTTCACTTTCCTGCTAGCTGCCACAAAAATGGCAATTCTTATAAAGTCGGACAGAACATGAGCCTTAAATTTACGTACTTACGTAAGTACATTTATATATATTAAAAAGCTGGGACCCCAATTTAAGAGAAAATTTGCTAATTATTTTCATTAATGAAGTCCTCCTCCGACGGCAGGCTTGAAGTCCGGCGGTGGCGATGGCAACAAGATCATTGATAATATGCCACTGGCTGCGGCCGCCACCGCCCCCGCCACAAACGCCGGTAAGTTGCCGCCACCAAAGAGCGCATCCCAAGGTCCATTAACAACGGATACAAACATCTATATTAAAAAAAAAAAAAAAAACAGAGAGATTATCATTATTGTCGTGTAAAAACTTGAAATTGGGGGAAATGAATAGTATTTAATTTGTTTAAAGGAATAAACTGTGAATCAATTAATTACCTGTGGGATGACAATGGCAAGGTTGAGAACTGCTAAAGATAACCCTGAAAATATGAAGCAAATAAAAAGAATCAATAAACAGTGTGAATTTCAGTTCAAGTGAATGAAGTGAGATCCCTGAATCATTATTGAAGTCAATCTCAGAATCAATCAATATTAAACTGGTTTAATATTTACCTTGGCCTGCCCCTGAGGTGGTGGAGAAAATGGATGCTAGTGCAAAAGGAATACTGTAAGTAATCTGCACCCAAAAAAGCACAGACAGACAAACACTTTAGTAACTTCCACGTGCTTAGAGAAAACCTTTGAACTTCCTGGACGTGTAATTTTGTAATAGTAACATAGGTGTTTTCAGATTAGCTCAAAAGGTAAAAGATGGTTCAATTCTGATTTTTTTATCAATAAAAAAATTTAAAAATACTTCCTTCATTAATAAATATAAAATATTTTTAATTAAATTTTATATAAAATATTTTTAATTAAATCTTACTTTCAATAAAAAAGTTATTTATTTTTAAATTAATCCTATCTTTTCATATTTATCACTATTAAACGCCTTATAATAAATATAAAATTATTATCAATAGAGGCATTTTAAAAAAAAGTAATGACTATATCTCAAAAGATTAAAAATATCTTATATTTTTGAACGAATGAAGTAATAAATTTGAATTTTCATGAGATATTATTCAATGTTCATAAACTTCATTTATTATTTGTAACCAGTCCCAAAATCAGATATAGTAAGGGAGTAGTGTTGTCATGGGCAATTAATTTAAAACTCTATTGAATCTCATGTGAATATGGAGATTTTTCATCATTACCGACTTGCCTGGAAAATCAGTTCAAATCCAAACCTACTTCAATGTCACAACTTGTCTTCTTGTGTTTTTTTTTTTTAAAGTTCAATCCAATTAAAATCATGCTCTCTTTTGTTTTGTTTTTCTTTTTTGCCTCGAATTAATGCCACGCTTTGGACTTTATGCCTATCAGGGGAAAAAAAATTGGCCTCAAAAATTCAGATTCTTTTACGGCTAAAATCCAACAGACTTTTGTGGAATGCAGAAAATTCATGCCTAACTCTTATTCCACTACCTGTAAATGTTCTTCCACCCACACAATTGGCATATAAAACACTAACAACTTGCATAACATCTTTTGGAATCACCATCCAACTTGTTAGTTCGTTTAGGCATCAAAATAATTTTTTGTTGTTGTATTAGTTTGAAATTCAAAAGAAAATATAATAATTTGGAAAATAAATAACATATAATATAGAAATGAAATTAAAATTGAATTCATGTGAAAAAAATTATAATACAATAATAATATGATAAATACAGCTACTCTCGTGGTTTTTATGCCTAACGGAAATTGCTTTCATGTGCATGTAAAACGCATCACTCTTGGCATCAGTCATCCACAGTTTCAAACTTACTAAATAGGATTTTATTTGGGGAAATTGAAAAAAGGACTTGTTAAACAAATTAATTGGAGAAAAGGAGTTAACTTGCAAAATCTTGCAGAATATGGAAAAAAAAAAATGCAGAATCATGAAAGATAAAATGCATAGTTTGAAGAAAATTTGCAGATTTTAAATCTTGCCCCTTTCTCCAATTAATCTGCCTATTTGTTCCTTTTCCGCAATTTCCCTTTTATTTTTTTGTTTATTTTAATTACATAGGTTTTGGCCCCTAAAATTGTAGAACTTTAGACAAGCTATCTTATAATTTTGGGGAAAATTATATATAAATTCCACACAATGAAATTAGTTGCTTACAAGTCTTGTCACATGTAAATACTAAAGTTTGACTTGTAATTGTAAAAATTTTACTTATAAATGGATTAATAGTAATGAGAAGTAGTGTTATAATAACTAGACTGAACCATCATATTCAATCGGTTGAATTAGAAACCAATTATAAGTTTATTTCAATTGTAGTCGAGAACCACACAATCAAAGAACCAATTGAACTGGTTAAGATAGGCAGAACCAGCAGGTAGACGAGTTGAACAAGTCTTATTACTTTTTCTAATTTTTTTTAAATTTTTATTTTTTAAAATTTTAATTCATATTAATAAACAATAATTTATATATATGTTTATACCTGATAAGCATTAATGAATGAAAAATATAAGCAAATATGCAAAGAATATGTATATATATGTATATATTTTAAAATTATAAATTATAAATTACGAGTTAAGTGTATAAATTTTTTATTAAAATATTGAACTATTAATGGATTTTTTTTTTCATTTTATGTTATTTTGATTGAGATTTTAATGTTCAATTTTATTATTATATTTGATTATTTTTTTATTTTAAGTATATATTATTTAAAATATATGAATTTGTTCAAGATATATTGCAGTTCGAATGGGGAACTCATACGTCTACCAGTTCAATAATTCATCCAATTTTCTTAACATTAATCATAAGAACTCTGAAGTTAATTTTAAAAATAAAATTGATAAGTGACTTACCGCCAGGGGAATTCCGAGCAAGGCAAAGAGAGACAAGGCGGCGCCGTTAACTCCGGCGGTAGGCGGCAGAGGATCGTTGGATCCGGGGGCGTACCGCCGTGAGTGCTCGGCCAACTTGGTGATCAACACGGTGGAGGCCAAGCAGGCGGCGAGCAATATGTTCACAATTCCCCACAGCCTCTTCACGCCCCCAACCGCACGCGCCATCACCTCCACGCCCAACGACACCGCACCAAGCACCACCGAGTTCAACATAAGCCCCAACGACCCCGCGTGCACCCCCTTATCGTACGCCTTGCCTTCCCCAACCTTTCCCCCGTACACCTCCTTCGCCATCCAATCAGTGTCGAACATCAAGAACGGGAACCAAGCAATCCAGTTCAGACACGTCACCCCGAGTAAAATCCACATGGGCCTCTTGAGCTCATGGAATGACCCCAGCATTTGCCCGAAGCATGGTAAGCCTCCTGATCCCTCAGCCACTGAATCATCCCCCTCGTTCCCGCCTTTTTGCGACTGGAGTGGCTTCTCCTTCACGTAAAACATGGCGATGGCTGTGAGGAACGTGAGAAGAGCGATGGATATGAAGAAGCAGCTCTTTAGGTTGGCGCAGTATTCGTTGCAGGCTTTGGTTTTGGTGAACGCGAAGCTCTTGTACAGCTTGCCGTCGGCTCCGGCGGCGTATCCCAGCACGTTTCCGACGGCCATGAAGAACGAGAAGAATCCGTTCGCCGTGCGTGTCTTTCGGTGGTCCCCGGCGGTGAGGTCGGCTAATAGAGCTCGGCACGGGCCTTGGAGCATGTTGTTGGCGACGTCGAGGATCCAGAATCCGAAGACGAAGACAGCGATGGAACGTGGTCTTGTTTTCTTCTCGAGGGAGTCGCCTATCATGTGGCCAAGATCAGCGGAGTAACCGATCAAGAAAACGGCGACAGCCACAGCTAGTGCTCCGGCTGCGATGAAAGGGCGACGGCGGCCGAAGCGGGAGGTGCAGCGGTCGCTGTGGTAACCGACAATTGGTTGAACCAATAAGCCGGAGACTGGACCGCAGAGCCAAATAAAGGAGGCCCAAAAGTGGGGGGTACCGAGGAGCTGGACGTAGGGAGTTAGCAAGGAAAGCTGAAGAGCCCATCCAAAATTGATTCCCGCGGCAATGGAAGCGACGACGATGATTTTCCGAAGAGGGCTGGATTCAGGAGGAGAGGAAGCTGGTTCAACATTGAGAGAAGGAGGTTTGGTGTTGTTTTGCTTAGTAGCCATGATTGATCACAGAAACAGAATAACTGAATATAGCGTGGCTATTGGTTTAATGAAGCAAGAGGGAGGAAATCAGTGAATTTATAACGAGGAGGAAGGAATGGGTTTGCATGCAACTGTAATGAGAACCAGAATCAAGTGTGGACCGGTGGGCGAGGGAGGAATAGTTGGTAAGTTCCTACTTATCTCTAAAGGAGATACTCACAATTTAATTTTACTGAGCAATTTAACATATAATCAACAGCATCACATTTTGCTGACACTATTTACTGAAGTGAGGTAGAGTTTTTATATTTTATATTTTAGATTATATATAGATTCGCATGAAAAATATTGAATATACCTTGTCCTATATAGCATTTGACTTTCACTTTTTTTTTTTTTTTTTTATGTTAGAAACTCCAACTCTCATTCCAGCTATTCAGGGGCTGCTCTGGCTCGTTCTGTTTATAGTATGCCTTTATAGCTTCATCCTATGAACAAAAAACAAAATTTCTATGGATCTTTCTCTTCTTCAACACGAACTTCCATGAAATACGGTGCAGAGAGGGGCCGGTGGCACTAAGGCTGTATTCACTTGGTTGACATGGATGAATCGGGGTTGAGTTGTGCCCTTGTTTTTGGGTTAAATAACGTGCCATCCTCTTCTGAGAGTAGGTCATCTTATTCTGTGCACTTTCGTCTCTGACTTTCATGATTGAAATTTTGATTTGAATTAGTTGAGTTGAGGAGTTGCTTGTGTTGGAAGTTCAGTTTCAAATCTCCTCGGTTCGCTACATGATTACTTTCTCATGAGTCATGACTATATATCTTGAGCAATTAATGCTATTCAGACAGAATATAGCACCTTGCTGTAATTTTTGGTTATTTACCAAGTGTTGCAATTCTGAATCATGATCTTTTCTCTGTATTCTGCATGATGATGTTAGCGGAAATTTTGGTATCTTCGGGTTGTTCTGAGCTTCTAGTTTTCATAACAAGAGCGTAGTATAATCTGTGCAGCCTCGGGTGTGCTGTCCAGAATAGACTTCCAACTCCTGAAGTTGTGTTGCATCGCATTGTTTTAATTGTGCATAGAAAAGTAAGATTAAGATATATGGTTTTTCCCCCCCCCCCCAGTTTGGGTGGGTTTTAAGCTAAGGTTATGCTGTTTGGTTCAGGTTAGCGCAAAATTTTATGTCTGAAGAAAGATATAGCACTGATTATAATTCTACCTTTAGTGTGTTAAAGTTTAAAATGAAAATTTTGGAGTATATATAAGCAGGACTGCTGTAAATTCAGTTTCGATAGTTATTTTTCATGCCATAATATCTGTTTGTATGTTACGTTGAGCTCGTGTTGAGAGATACTTACAGGCATATGTTTCTGCCAAATGTTCTTCTTTTTTTTCCCCTTAGCCTGTGCCAAATATTTTGTGTATTAGTTCTGAAATTCTGCACTTGTGTTACTAAAATTGTTCAGATATGATATTCCTAGATACATGCGGTCCGTTATTTCAAATTATGGTTATCTTTTAGTTTCATAAATACAGTAGAATATAAGATCGACTTCCTCTTTGTATCGACCTGTGCCAACTCTCTACCTAAACACACTGAAATACAGTAAAATGTTTCCTTCATTTAATCAGTGAATAGTTTTTAAGTACTGTTCAAGATGAACAGTATAAAATTTTATAAACTTTATATTTACTATTTTGTATTTACTATTGATTGATATGTATTGATTTAAATTTATTTGGGTTGAGGAGTTTGTGTTGGAAGTTCAGCTTCGAATCTTCTCTGCTTGCTCCATTGACTCCTTGCTCATGACTGTAAATCAAGTGTTGGCACTTGAGAATTTGAGTCATGATCTCTTTTCTGTATGCTGGTTGATGCCGATGTTGGCCGAAATTTTGTTATATTAATTTATTTGAGTTTCGAGTTTTCATAAAAGGAGTTTACTGAAACCTATAAAACCTCAGGCATGCTCTGCAAAATGGACTTCCATCTTCTAGAGTTCGGTTTCTGTGCCCAGTATTTTTAATCGTAGAAAAGCACTGGGCCATTCAGATTTTAATCTAGATGATCCAGATTTTTTTAATTTTAATTTTAATTTTATAAAAATAAAATTAATAATTTTTTGATAAATATATTCATCATTAATTTAGACAGTACTAATTCAATTTGAGACTTCAATTTAATATTATAATTTTTATAAACTGATTATCTAGATGTACTCTGGATAAGACAGATTTAATATTAAATTTTTTAATAAGTTTTTATTTTAATAAATATAAAATAAAAATAGAAACTTTAAATCTAGGCCTTGCATATAAAAATTTAATATTGAATTTGGACTGTTCAGAGTACATCTAGATAATTAATTTATAAAAATTACAACATTAAATTGAACCATTTAAATTTAATCAGTATTGTCTAGATTGATGATGAATATATCCAGATTGATAATAAATATATTTATCAAAAAATTTATAAATTTTATTTTTATAAAATTAAAATTAAAATTAAAATTAAAAAAATCTGGACCATCCAAATTAAAATCTGGATGGCCAAGATGCTTTTCTATGATGAGCACTAGACTCTCATATTTTATACTTACTCCGTTAAAAAATGTAAAATATTTTTAATTAAATCTTACTCTCAATAAAGTAATTATCTACTTTCAAACTAACCTTTTTTTTTATATTTACTCATATTAAATATTTTATAATAAATATGAAGTCATTATTAATAGGAATACTTTTGATAAAAAAATAATAATTATACTTTAAAAGATTAAAAATATTTTATATTTTTTAATATTTAATTTTTTAAAAAATATTTTATATTTTTAAATTGAGAGAAAAAAATATATGGTTTCTGGGTGAGCTTGCACTCAGATTATGGCTCTTTGTGAAGTGAAATTGACGTCATGAATTGATTCTGTTTTCGGTGCGTTAAAGTGAAATTGCAGGGTTTATGCTGTGTATCCAGTATTGATGGTTCTTTTTTCATGCCAAAATGTCCACTTTTTTTTTTTTTAATGTTACGTTATGTCGGTTTTGATGGGTACTTGTCACTTGTCAGCATAAATTTTTGCCAAATGTTCTGTCAACGTGTCTTTGGTGTGAGATTCTGCACTTACATTCTGTTATCAATGCACAGTGTTCTCGTGAAGTGTGCGTCATCCTGATGGGTCTAAATCCGCCCCAAGTGCTTTCAGAAAATGTTGCCACTGCTCTTGCTTTGATTCAGGTTAGTGCAAAATTTTATGTTTGAAGACAGACATCAATCTTAACTCTTGATTGTGCTTGATATTGCTAAATATCCGTTTAAATATCAGTTAAGTATAATAAATTAATAAAATAATTAATTAAATAATAAATTTTAATCATAATTAATTATATTATAATACAATTTGTTTGGATATTATTTTTTTAAAATTAATTTTAATAAAATTAAAAATATTTAAATAATTTATTTAGAATTAATTTTAACTATAGTTATATAAATTATCATAATCTTTTAATTTTATTAAATTTTGTATCCTTTTTATAATTTTTTTGGACTTTTTTTGTAATCTTTTTCATATTTGTTAAATAATTTCAACACTGAGGCTGGGAGCTTTGAGAAAAAATTAATTTTTTTGGCAAAAATTGATTTTCCAAACAAATGGGTGTTTGGATAGTTTAAGCAAAAATTAATTTTTTGTTTTAAATAATCGATTAAAATGTTATTCAAACAGGCAATAAATCTTACGCAAAAATATAAGAGTACTTTACCTCGAGAAGTTGGTTTTTTAACGAGTTCTCATTTTTTTAAAAAAGAATTACCCACTTTTATGGTACGGCTTAGGAGAGATTTCAATCATGACTGATAAAATTTGGTTGATAAACGATCGATGCATTTGCTGCTTCGTTACGGATCCTAAATGCCTCCCCTCTTTACCACCCTTGTCGTTGTGCTTGAGCTTTTTTTTTTTTTTTTGGTACATAAACTTGATTTTGTTGGCACAATTAACAATGGTTCCTTATATTACCAAAAAAAAAAAAACACCCAATGGTGCTTTTCACATAGTCCAATATTATCTATGGGCTTGATTTCATTTGAGCAGGCCACTTCAGTTGACTTTGTTTCCAAATTCCAAAAAAAAAAATCCAAACACAAAAAAAAAAAAAAAACAACTCATGGTCATGGATACGAATGATAAAAAAATTAAATTTTTATAAGTTTTTGTACTGTCATGATTACTATGTAGAGATTTTTTTTTAAAAGGTCGAATTCAAGCACTGCAATTATCAAAGCCATGTTAATTCTGGACTGCTGATTTTGCATAAATCTTCAAAACTTAATTTTCTTAATTTCTCTTATGTATATCTCAATATTTGTCTCCTCTCCTAAAAAGGCATGCCTCACGTAAGCCAAAACAAAATGAACATGTAATGTAGTGCAGTAGTGTTGATTTTAGACCATATCAATCACGTAGTGATGAAAGGGAAAAAGCAAACAGAGATTGTCGCGAGCAAGAGAACAAAGAAAAGGAAAAACGTATTAGAGAATAGAATGCACACAAGTTGGTTCAGATAATGGAAGATGATGAGAGAAAATACTGTTTTATTAGGAGCCCGCAACAAAGATGGAAGGCAGAAAAGTGGGAAGCACCGGTTCACTAGTCTTGTTCGGCTCGGCTCGGCTCGGCTCACCTAAACCAGCCTGCCCCCACACCTGCAGTCCTTCACTGTACATTATTCATCCTTTCGTTTCAAGCCCTTTGCCTTTTTTGCTTTCCTCTCAGTCTCCCTAATCCCTATTTCAAGTACAAAGCGCCCCCAAAATGGACCCAATGCCTCAAAAATAAACAAGGCTCTTTTGGGAGTCCTCCTAATTACACATATTTTTCTTCACCAAACTTTACAATAAAAATGAAATCCTGACTCTTTAGAGTCATCCTTCACTGTGCTGCCACAAACATGGCAGTTTTAAATTCAAGCTTTTGTTGGACTTGGACACAGCATGAGAGGCTTCATCATGTTTAAGACCTAGGACCCCACAATCTACAAAGAAAAAGAAAAGCAAAAACAAAACCCCGAAAAAGGAAAAAGAAAAAAGAAAAAAAAAGTAATTAATTGTTCTCTCTAATGGAAGCCTCCAGCTGTGCTCATCGTCTTTGCCAGGTCCGGTGGCGGAGACGGCAACAAGACTATTGATAGTATACCGCTGGTTGCGGCAGAGATAGCACCCACAACAAACGCCGGCAGGTTTCCACCACCAAACGCCTGGTCCCATGGCCCACTCACCACAGACACAAACATCTGCTTGATACAAATAATAACGACAATTAGTAAACAAATTTGGATGATGAATTTGGCAAATAGAACAATTTCTGAAAGATTATCTCACAAATTACCTGAGGGATGACAATTGCCAGATTCAGAACTCCCAAAGATAACCCTAAAAATTGAAATGAAATGGGTTAGTTAACGCGATGAAGTAATCATTGTGAATTCTTAAGTGGGTGGTGGACTGGTGGTAGTGGATTAAAAGAATGATTCATTATTTTACCTTGGCCTGCGCCTGAAGTGCTGGAGAATATGGATGCTAGTGCAAAAGGGATACTGTAAGTAATCTGCACAACAAGTATGATTACAATTAGAGTGGATAATTCAAGTCGAACTCGACAGGCTAGCCCGAATTCCTCCGAAAAAAATTACGGCTAGGTTTAAAAAATATAATTTTTTTTATATTCAGGTCTATTCAGACTATTCGGGCCAAGCCGATCAAGTTCGGACTTGACCCCAATACTCGAATAACAATATTTTATTTTTACAAAATATATTAAATATGATAAATATTAATTAATTAATTAAGTATTAAGTTATTTTATACTAAAATACTATATATTTGAGTGTTATACATCATTTAAGTATCAAAAAATATATTTTATATTTTTTATAAAATAAAATAATTAATTTTAAAGTGAAAAAATTAATTAAAAATGATTTTAAAATATAAATTTGTATATTTGAACCGCCTGAAGTCTGAAGAAATTCAAGCCAACCTTGGCTATTCGAACTTCTCAAAAAGTCGGGCTTGTTCAAGTTTGAATTTATTCAAATTGAACTTATTCGGCCTGAGTCTGAATAGGCCCAACTTGCCCAAATTCCCAACTCCATCACAATTTCTTCAGCATCTTCCACATGCTTCGATAAAAGCTTTCGAACTTTTATTACTGTTCTCCTGTAGCTTCTGAGGGAATATTGTGCTGTCTTTACACAATTCTTTAATAGTATGCCTAATAGGCCTGTCTATCAAAATATTATAATAATGCCTGATTTTTCTCGTGATATTATTTTTTATAATTAACATTTGGCAGCGACATCAATCCACACCAACCCCAGCTATTAATTCTAAGAAAACTCTGCAAGAAAAAACCAAGAATTTTTTGTGGCATGCAGAAATTTACGCCAACATCCAACTCAGATGCTCTCCCTTTTTTGTTTTTACCATAGAATCCCGCCGATAGGGCCCCGGAAAAATACAAAACAAGAATTTGCAAAAATCTTTTTGTATCACACACCCACATGCCCTCTCTCGTTAATGCAAGAGAGAAAAATTGCAAACTTCAAAGTTCTGAATCACATGTCAAACTTACCATTTTTGTACAGTGAATTAATTGTTAAACTCCCTTTTCAGCCTTTTTTTTTAAATTGAAGAAAAATATTCAATATTAATTATTAAATTTTTATTTAAACACGAAAAAATAGCGGGAGACACAGAAAAACAAATTAAGGTTAACCAGTGACTCACCGCCAGTGGAATTCCGAGCACCGCGAAGAGAGTTAACGCTCCGGCCTTAATTCCGGTGGAAGGTGGCAGAGGATCGGTAGACCCCGGGGCGAACTGCCGCGAGTGCTTGGCCAACTTGGTGATCAGCACCGTCATGGCCAAACATATGGCGAGAATGAAGTTAACGATGCCCCACAACCTCTTCACACCCCCAACCCCACGCGCCAACACCTCCAAGCCCAAGGACACCACGCCCAGCACCACCGAGTTGATCATTAGACCCAATGCACCCGCGCGCACGCCCTTATCGTACGCCTTACCTTCCCCCACCGTTCCTCCGTACACCTCCCTTCCCATCCAATCAGTGTCGAACAACAGGAAAGGGAACCAAGCAATCCAGTTGAGACACGTCACCAGGAGTAAAATCCACATCGGCCTCTTGAGCTCACGGAACGCCCCGAACATTTGACCGAAGCACTGGAAGCCTCCTGATCCCTCGCCCACCGAACCATTTTCACCCTCGTTCCCGCCAGTTTTTTTCTCAAGGGCCTTTTCCTTCACGTAGGTGAGAGCGGCGGTTGCGAGAACGAGCAGAAGAGCGATGGAGAGGAAGAAGCAGCTCTTCAGGTTCGCGCAGTACACATCGCAGGCCTTCGTTTTCGTGAACGGAAACATGTGGTAGAGCTTACTGAACGATCCGGCGGCGTATCCGAGGACGTTCCCGACGGCCATGAAGAACGAGAAGAAAGAGTTCGCCGTCCGCATCTTCCGGTGGTCGCCGGCGGAGAGGTCTGCCAATAGAGCTCGGCACGGGCCTTGAAGCATGTTATTGGCCACGTCGAGGATCCAGAATCCGACGACGAAGATCGCGATGGCTCGCGGACGCGTTTTCTTCTCCGGCGAGTCGCCGAACATGTGTCCCATGTCAGCGGCGTAACCGATCAAGAAAACAGCGATGGCGACCGCCAGTGCACCAGCAGCGATGAACGGGCGGCGGCGGCCGAAGCGGGAGGTGCAGCGGTCACTGTGGTATCCGACGATGGGTTGAACTACCATCCCAGAGATGGGACCACAGAGCCAGATAAAAGCAGCCCAGGTATGGGGAATACCGAGAAGCTGTACATAAGGAGTCAACAAGGAGAGCTGAAGAGCCCATCCGAATTGAACACCGGCAGCAATGGAAGCGACGACGACGATTTTCCGAAAAGGACTAGACTCCGGCGGAGAGGCAGCAGGCTCAACCTGCAGAGAAGAAGGCTTATTAACCAAATCGGCTTGCTTAGTAGCCATGAGAGAGAGAGAGAGAACGAAAACAAGTGAAGTGATGAGCGTTGTTTGATTCAATGCATTTCGGAGGAGAAAGCTGGGGAATTTATAGAGAAGGCTAATGAAGAGCGTTTGCATGAAATGTAATTAAAGCAATTGTGGGGGCCCAGAGGTGGCCCAGACTAGTCTATGTGCCATTAATTGAGGGGCACAGCACTGATTATAAGACTAACTGTTCTCTTAATTTTGACTCCATTATTCACTGGATAATCTTTTTATTATTACGTATACCAGGTATAGACTTTATAACAAACATACTAGTACAATGAGGCATGAAGAGTAATATTTTTTTGATAGCAAAAACTGATATTTTTAAAAATATTGATATAAAATCCTTGACATCTATTTATATGAATACTATAACTTGCAGTCTATAAAATTTAGTTCCCGTTTGGACAGCATTTTCAGAATTTTAAATGTACTTTTAGGTCAACTTTTTAGACAAACGTTAGAAGCAAAATGAATGAGCTTTTTTTTTTTTTTTAAAAAAAAGAGAGAGAACACACACACAGAGTTAAAATGAAAAAACAGGCAGGTTTTTATTTTTAAATTAAAATGTGCTTCAACTGGGTGTAGAGATAGAATGGCACAGCACACAACACAACATACAAGGGCAGATCTTACTTTTCGTGGACTCACTGTTAAGAGTGAAACCTACTTTTCTATATCTATTTCTCTCTTCATTTTAGATTAAATGTATTTGATGAGTCAGACCAGACTCAGTAGAATGGATAAGTCTCCTAATTAATATTATTTTTTTAAAAAAATTAATGATAAGTCATTTATTGTGAGATTTGACTTTCACACATTCATGACAAAAACTCCAATATCGGTATTAGCCTCTCACCGATTGCTGTGCGTTGTTGTTTGTTGTGTTTGTGATGTGATTGTGATGAAGTCTTTGAAGCCTTACAAGAACAAAACTTGAATGGATTTTTTCTCTTCTTGAACGACACAAACTTCCATGAAAATACAGAGCCATGGAGGGGCCACTAGTTCTCAGCTAGCTAGGCTGTATTCCCTTAATTGTCACCCATCCAATTTAATTCAATCCAATTCAAATACATTTATTGCCTTTAATTTCATTTTTGTTTTAATTGGATAAAAATTATAAAATAAAATCACAAATAGTAAATACTAGTTCAGTTAGTTGAACCAACGTTTTTTGAATCGGATAAGCTTCAGATAAGGCGTGTGTAGTTTGGGTTTGAGTGCAAGAAAAGGGAACATGACGAAGAGGCTTCGTGTCAAAGGATGTTGGAAAATTAAAACTGTCCATTAATTGATCAATGACTCTGATTTACTCTCAGTATCATACAAAATCTTAATCTCTTAATTTAACTCATACAAATAATTATTCTTTGACTTTAATTTTCAAATTCCATTACTCTTCAATTTCATTCTCCTTCGCCATTTTCGCACTTATTATATACTCTATCGCTTCACTATTATAAACCACTTTTTTTAAGTATAATATTAAAAAATATAAAATATTTTGAATCTTTTAAAATGTAATTAATAAAGTTTTTTTAAAAGTATCATTAATTTGATGGTATAATTAATAATGTTTTTGAATTGAGATATGGGTAAACATAAAATTGAGTGTTCATAGTTGAACAATAAATACCAGACGTACCAGAGACGCTGGGTCTCAATAGATAACAAAAGAGTCCCGAGCTCCTTTATCATAATTCACTCGGGTGTAAAAAGATATAAAACTTTGGTAGAATAGGTGTATAATTTTTATTGAAACGTAAAAAGATTACAAACTAAAAACTAAAAACTAAAAAAGGGCTAACGAATGTAAAATTTACGAGTATTTGATGGAGTGTTGACTAGTTTTTTTTATATTTTTTTCTATTTATAGTGTCAGAGTAGTGGTAACCCTTTCCCTCGAAACCTAACGTGTTTTGGCAAAGAACCAGGGGTCCCGCGAAACTCATGGCACGGTTTTTATTCCATGCTCTCTATTTTGATAACCAGCCCGTTTCATTAAAATACTTGGGTGTAGATTTTAGCATTACTTAAGATAGTGTCTTCATGCCAACAGTCTAATATTTATAGCTGACGAGATTTCAACATGTTTACTTATTGTGACTTTTATTTAATTTTGGGGCCAGCTCCTTTAGTTTATATTGGACCTGATACTTCAACTACTCAATCCAACTAATCTTGTGACCTATTTGAGTGACGTTTCATATTTGATTCACACATTGAGTGTATAATTTTAAAGATAATTAAATAATTTATTAAAAAGTATAATTTAATTATACATGTCTTATAATATTGAACTGAGAGAGTAGTTGATCTTGTAATAGATAAAAACAAGGTCAACTTTTTTTTCCCCAGAAAATATAGAATTTAGAGTTAATCTTTCAGTCAAATCTACGTTTGGTTTATTAGCTTTAAGAAAATGAATGCTACTTAATCTGATCCGTTCTCAGCATTAGACTACATTACTAGAATGTGCTTAAACTGTCAAGTATGAACTGAGTTTGCTTGCAATTTGTGCATGACTCGGACTTATTAACTAATCAGTACACTCAATATTAGCTATATATGTGTGTGTGTATGTATATGCATGTATGTATTACACCACTTGTTCAAGGAATCTACAAAGATAATGTATTTGGATAAATAATTATTTATAAAGAAAACACTTGTTTAGCAATGCATTAATTGATGTCTGTGATCCACGTCAGAATGTTTGTTTTTAGACAAAGGGGGTGTGGGAAAAGAAAGCATTGTTAATCCTAAATAATATATAAATATTCCAAAGCAGGAATTTGACATGTAGCATTATATCCATACCAATTAACGGGCTCTAAAGTGTAATTATTCCATTTTTTATTTCCTATTTTTAGACGACATAGAAGGGGAAAAAGTAGTGTTCTCATATTTTATGCGGGAAAATTTTTAAATTAACTTTAATTTTATTACTTTATTCTCAACTAAACTTTATTTTATTCGTTTATCTCTGTTTTTGAATTACAATCTTTAGTTTTACTATTGCAAAACTTTCACGTTCTTCGATAAAAATATTTATGGGGCGCCTTGTTAGCCCAGGAGTGTGGATATCACAGTTGATTCAATAAAAATATATCTATATAACAAAAATTAAATTAAAAAACAAAGTCATCAACATATGAAAAATATTGTGAGTATATTTAAGATCTGTGTAAATGAATGAGCCTGCTCTAATTCTATGAGAAATTAAGAAATTGATATAAGAAAAATATAAATAAAGCTCTCATCATTTATCTAAGTGATTGGAGGTTCTCAAAACCTTACATATATATATATATATATATTAATTTAGTTGATAATGATCTATCTTTTACCCTCAATATTGCACAAGAAATAATCTCTGCTGTTGACAAGATTTAATCCTTGTATTTACTAAAAAAACCACCGAGAGACTTGATTTAATTGGTAGAAATGCAATAGTGTTAAACATGGAGTTTTGAATTTAAATCCTAAAAATACAATATTAAATATTCAGTGGAAGAGTCTTTGTGCCTCCTTTTGTGACCTTGTGCACTTATCTGAATTAGTTTAAACTCTTGATGAGTTGTTCTTTTAAAATGAGGTAAGTTTAGAATAATGGATGTTCTAGACACAAAAAAGAAAAAGGAAAAAGGTAAAAATAAAAAGTAAATTGAATTTTTTGATAAATAAAATAAAAAGGGAAAAAAAACGGGGGGTGTGAGGAAAAGAGGAAGAAAGAAAGAGAGGGAGAAGGGAGGGGAACTAACGCGTTGACTACGGTGGGCCCCAGCGACCGACACACTTGAGGAAGGCGGAGAAAATGGCAATCGCGACGACGACGTCTCGACGTCATTTGGTCATCTTCTTCTGCCCATCTCAGTCTAACCACGCAACCGACGCCAAAAACTGTCGACCAACAGAAAACGCGGATCCGTTTAACTTTAGTTCATTTTATTTTTCCACACATATTTCCGTTTTCCCTGCCGTTTTATTTATAATATTGTCCTTTCATAGAAAAATCATGCTTCTTTTCATGCACATGATTTAGATTGCCTTGCCTGCATGTTTAAACATGTACTTTTATGTTTTTTTTAATACCTATTTCTTTCATATACAAATTAAGAAAATAATTAAATATCTTAAATTGTATGCAGTAGAATTTGATATTACTAAATTGAGCTTATATACTCTCTTAAGTATTAATGAAGGATAAACTAAAAATAATAATATTTTTTAAAAAAATTTAAAAAATTAATTTTTTAATCCTTCAAACTTTGAACTTACCTGTAACTCAGTCATTCAATCATAACTCGCTATAACTCAATCTTTCAACTATGACTCGCTATGATTCAATCTTTTAATTTTTATCTCACTTATAACTCGATCTTTATTTTTTAATTTTTTTAAAATTTCCTTATCAAATAAAAGAAATAAAAAATATTTATATTTTGCTTTAAAATACCCTCCATTTGCTCTTTGATATGGGATCTAAACTAACATAAAAAAATAGAGCTAACAAAAGTTGACGAATTGAATTAAAAGTGAGTCAAAAGTTAAGAGATTGAATTATAGGCGAGTTATAATTGAGAGATTAAGTTATAATGAGTCATTGTTGAGGGGATTAAGTTACAAGCAAGCTAAAAGTTAAAAAATTAAAAAATTAATTTTTTCAAAAATCTATCTATAGTAAATTTGATGCTCTGTTGCACTTTAAAACAAAAAAAAAAAAAATCCAGGAAGTAACATAGTTACTTAACTTGACCAATACAAGCCCTATCAGGCCAATCCAAATGAAGGATCCTACAAAGGTCATCAAGTGGATGCTGGATTGCATGGAATCCAAGAAGCTAAGTCAGCAATTGTGTGAACATGCTGCGCAGGTACCTCCCAATCCTATCCACGCAAGCTCTGAATCTCCATCACAAGATCATAATCGTGATGTTCATGATTAGATGCATGAAGGAGAAGATTTAAAGCTTCCCTAGAGTCCCATTCAAGCATAACTCTCTAAAACCCAGATGTTCTTTGTGACTTG